AAAGATACAAGGCACGACTAGTTGTGAAAGATTCAGTCAGAAGAAAGGTATTGACTTTGAAGAAATATTTTCTCCAGTTGTGAAAATGTCCTCTATCCGAGTTGTTCTTGGTTTGGCTGCCCGCTTGAATTTAGAAGTTGAGCAACTTGATGTAAAAACAGCATTTCTTCATGATGACTTAGAAGAAGAAATTTACATGGAGCAACCAGAAGGTTTCAAAGTCAAGAGAAAAGAAAATATGGTATGTAAGCTTAGGAAAAGCTTATATGGACTCAAACAGGCACCTAGACAGTGGTATAAGAAGTTTGATTCCTTTATGATGAGCCAAGGGTATGATAGAACCACATTTGATCATTGTGTGTTTATGAAGAAATTTTCAGATGATGATTTTATTATTTTATTGCTATATGTTGATGATATACTGATTGTTAGTCATGATGTTGGAAAAATTGGAAAGCTTAAAAAAGAGCTAAGTAAGTCTTTTGCCATGAAAGACTTGGGATCGGTGAAACAAATACTTAGCATGAAGATTCTTCGTGATAGGAAGAAAAAGAAGATTTGGCTATCTCAGGAGACTTACATTGAAAAGGTTCTTGAAAGATTCAATATAAGTAAAGCCAAAGTAGTTTGTTCTCCACTTACAGATCATTTTAAGTTGAGTTCGAAACAATGTCCTACAAGTGAGAAAGAAAAAGAAGAAATGTTCATAGTGTCTTACTCATCTACAGTAGGTAGTTTGATGTATGCTATGGTTTGTACTAGGTCAGATATAGCTCATGCAGTTGGAGTTGTCAACCGATTTCTCTCTAATCCTGGAAAGAAACATTGGGCAGTAGTGAAATGGATATTAAGATATCTAAGAGATACTTTCAGATTATGTTTATATTTTGGTAATGATGAAACTGTGTTAGAAGGGTACACAGATGCAGACATGGCAGGTACTGCTGATTCCAGGAAGTCCACTTCGGGATTCTTGATGACATTTGTAGGAGGAGCAGTCTCTTGGCAGTCTAAGTTACAGAAGTGTGTTGCTCTATCAACCACAGAAGTAGAATACATAACAATTACTGAAGCCTGCAAGGAAGCTTTATGGATGAAAAAGTTTCTACAGGAATTGGGCTTGAAACAGGAAGGATATACTATTTACTGTGATAGTCAAAGCGTCATTCACCTCTCCAAGAATTCAACATACAATTCTAGATCCAAGCATATTGATGTGAGATATCACTGGATTCGTGATGTACTTGAGTTGAAAGAATTACAGTTGGAAAAAGTGCATACCAATAAGAATGGATCAGATATGTTGACAAAGTCTTTGCCTAAGGAGAAGCTTGAAGCATGTAGGCAAAGAGCGAGCTTAGTACAGCCCATCATATAAGCCGGAGGGAGAGAATTATTGGGTCCAGCCCATATGTGGGCTTGGACAATTTGGACCATAAGCCTAAATCAATACTTAAGAGAGAAAGGGCAAAAGGTGAGCGTGCAGCGTGCGACGGCGTGCAGATAAAAGAGGAGAGAGAAATAAAGAGAGAAACATTAGGTTTCTGAGTTTTCTGCTTGACGATCGGTGGCCAAACGTTATCAGTTTTGGCCCAAATTTTATGTGAAGAATTCTTGCAGTAAACTCTACAATCCTAACGGTGTTGATCTAAAGTTTGCCCTCTCTAAGGTACTTTCTTGCTATATTCACTCTGTGAGACCTAAAATTCTCTTTTGAGGAGATCCATCGATATGCTAGAGCAAGATCTATGTTCTTGATGTTATTCCGATCCTCTAATTATTCTAGAGAAGATTTACTGTAAACCTGTTATCATTATTATTGATAGTGGAAGTTTGAGGTGGACTACGGTCTCGTAGTTTTTCCCACATTGGATTTTTCACGTTAAAAGATTTAGTCTCATTGATTGATTATTTGTTCTATGCTGTGTTGGTTGATATTTTCATTTGGATATCAAGTTGGTATTTTGATAAGGAACATATTTTGACAGGGAAAACTACTTGAAGCTTTCGCGGGCAGTGGAACAAGGCTAAGCAGCACAATTACTTCTCTCTATGACTTTGAGCTACAGGAACGAAACTATGCTTACTCGGTGCTTGAGAAGGCTTCTTTCTCGCTCTAAAGGGAGGCACGCCACGACCCGAGCACAACGGTAAATTCACATTAGCTTTACTAACTCGCTGTTCCGTTGCTTTAAGCAGAATAGAAACAAATGAGAGAGAGACCAATCTATCAATTAAGTAAACTCACTTATGACCGAAACCTCACTTATTGAGAATTTAGTGCAATACTTAATGTAATCTAGTAACACCACAGTAGACTCCCTTAACTAGTAATACCACGGCAGACTCCCTTAACTCTTAACAGCTAAACTCTCAACTTTAAGTTAACCGAATATCGGCAAAAGAGCATTGAGTGCAAAAGAAAGCACATGACTCATAATATACGTTGGTTACATGCTTCTTCCCTAAAGCTTCTAACTTAAGGAATCTAGGATAGTGC